ATATCATGTCTGTGAGGCAATTCGCTGTTTCAGTTCATCATTGTGAAGTGCTCCTGCTCAAGACCGAGATGGCAGAATGCACATCCCCTGTTTTCCTTTTTATTTGATAAAAACACAATGTTTTGTTGATATTGTGAGTGCCCACAAATAAAAGTCGACCATTTACAGTTCCGAATGATGTATTAATCTTACCTTTATGAGAAAAAATGACGGCATATTTTAGGTTGTTTCCACTGTTAGAAAAAAATGCAAGTGATCGCACTGGCGCCTCCATGTGCTGCAAAGTGTACTTCAGCTGCCTTCTACTCTCCACACAAACGATTGGATATGCGTCTAACAGCGCACATTTATCTATAGGTTAAACGTTTAACCTAACATTTGTGATGTGCTTGAACTGTTATATTTCTATAGATTTTATTTTAGGCAAGTCGTGATGATTTGAGAAGGCTAAATTGATCAAACATAGGCTATGATCAACTCACTGTCTGCCGCTGGCCGCTTGGTCGTTACTTAAAAAAAAAAAAACTTACATTTAACGAACCAAAAATGCTCCAAACGTTTTTCTAAATTAACTTTATAAAAAAAATTAACTAAATATAATCACTTTTCCATTATATACAAAACTGAACTATTTTAATAGCCAAAACAGTAATATAAGCTGTTTTGGGAGAAGGGGAAAAAAAGATGGGCTCGAGCCGAGAATTCTGATGAGCTGTCAGACAAGGCCAGGCTAGGGCCTATATTTGAGGCCCGTGCAGGGCTCTAGTCCACTTCATCCAACGCTGTTTTGTTCTCTGTTGTTTTTATCTGTGAGCATGCTCTTGATAGATGTATTTTACCATTTTGTTGAGTTTAAAACATGACACATTCGTTCTGCTCTCACTGATCATTTGGTCCTCCCAAAAAAAAAACTGTGCGTACCCTAGGAAGAAATCTTGCAGGCGCCCCTGCTTGCTGTACTTAATTATTTAAAGAAAATCATTGTAGGCTATTCGACTAAGTCGTTCTGAGTGATAAATTGAAAAAGCTCCCACCTGTATATCACGACTAAACAAAATAACATGTAATTTACTTGAGGTTCTGCTATAAATGTGTCTATTAGAATCATTAATTGAAATGAATTAATTATACAAAAAATTGTTTGAAATTAATGAAGACTTCCTTAATGAAGGAAGTCCTGAATGACTGGTATTAAAGGTCATTTAGTCATTTTGATCACGGCTGCTAAAAACAACATCAGTGTTTATATCTGGACCATGAACTGTTACCCCAATACTTAATTTATTATTACATGTTTTCCACACAGAAATACTAATCTTTTAATGATTAATAGTGCATATGATCTATTTTTGTGTGTCAAATTTGTACCAGACCTCAAAGTAACCCATAAAGTAAACCAGCCCCCACTACCGCGATCCATGCCGTTTTATTGCCTTTTTAGCAGGACAAATTCAATGTTTCAATGTTCCTCACTTAAGTTTTTTGAAAACATTAAAAACATGCATAAAAATAAATACATAATATCAAACAAATAACAATAACAAATAACGGTAACACTTTATTTCGATAGTCCACTTTAGACATTCTATTAACAGTAAGTAACTTTGCAACTACATGTCAACTAGCAGTTAGTAGAGTATTAGTAGACTGTCTGCTTAATATCTTCTAACTCTTTCTTTGTCAACTTATTCTACAAACCCTAAACCTACCCTAACAGTCTACTCTGAGAGTTAGTAGACATGTAGATGCAAATTAATGAGTTGACATGTAGTTACAAAGTTACTTATAGTTTGTAGAATGTCTAAAGTGGACTATCGAAATAAAGTGTAACCCAAATAACTAATAAAAGTGGATAAAATATAAGCATACTATTTTATTTTCAAAGACTAAAGAGAAATATCAATACTGACTGAATCTTAATAAAATTACTAAATTATTGTTACCATTTAGGCCTAATCAGTTAAATCTGTAAATTATTTAAACAGACTAAACTTTGTATTTAAGGTTCGTTGATTTTCATGTCTTCCACATACAAACAATGAGCCAGAACTAAATTATTGATCATTTGCATAAAATCATATGTAACACGTTCCTACACGTGCTTACGTGTTGTTAACGCTTTCCAATGGCGACCGGTGGAAGTGCAAGTAACCGATCGTGTTCCCAACGTGTTGTTTACGTGTGAAGACACGTTTGTGTTTTTCTTACCTTAATGTAAGCTCTTTTATTTCAGTTGTGTCCTCCAAAATAGTCAAAATTAGATTTTTGCAATGGCTGATTTAGAAATTATATGCAGTGTATTATTAAAGTTAAAGCAGCAGAGGGTATTATATACAAACCGGGCATGCTTTGATGG